CTGAGAAAAAGTAGAATTTCATTTCCGAAGCTCAACCCGGAACTTCAATCCACCAAAAGCAAGCTTCCTAGTCTAGAGTCCTTCTCTCTAAAACTTCTCTCTAAAAACCTTTCCTTCTCCTCAACTGCACAACCTCTATTTATAGAAGTCTGAAGTGGCCAGAACGGGTCGTTTCAAATTTGAAACGACCTGTTCTAGGCTCCTTCATCATGTGTAAAATTCACATGCAGAACGACCCATTCTGAAACTAGAACGGCCCGCTCTAGCACTTCTAGAACGACCCGTTCTAAAACCGGAACGGCCCGTTTTAGAGTTGAATTTAACTCACAATGACCATTTTGGAATGACCCATTCCAGTCCAAGATTGGTAGGCCTATTTAGTAGTTTGGAACGGCCCGTCCCGGACTACTAAATCACCCATGGCCTTCTAAAATACTTACTACGTTACAAAATGCATAAGAGACATAAAGATTTTTAACATGAAAAACTCATCAATGTAAGAGTAAAAACTATCAATTGTCCAAACCAAAGAAACATTTCACTATGATCAATAAAGGGTACAAGAGAGTTTTCAATGAATGCACCAAATAGTGCTTACAATTAACAAAAGCAAATCATCAAACACAATTACTTATAAATGAGAAATAAGAAGATAAAAAGCTCCAAAACAGAGCTAATACTACGAGATATTTTTCTCCTACTCCATTTCTTTTTTGATGATCCAACTGTTGAATATGAAATGTCACGTCATACAAACTTGCTATCCAAAAATCAGTCTGATCCAACGATGAACGAATATCATATTATAATTCAACAAACTTGTCTAGTGAATATACAACCTAAACAATGAAACTTTCTCTCTTATCTTTCTCTATATTTTGTTGTTGTTTTCTCTCAAAATAAGTCACTCTCACTCACCTGGGCCCTACCCCTTTCTACAAATGAGAAATAATGAACTCACTTATTTTGGACCTCCATATAAGAAAAGAGCTCAAAACCGAATAAGTTGAGAGAGAAAAAGCAATGTATATGACTATGGAGTAGTAGTATTTTTTCTCCACTAACCAGTTGTCATTTATTTTCAAAAGTTCGATGTAATTTTAAATACTTTTAAAATGAATTTAATGACTCGTTACAAGTACTTTCACCTTTTATATCCGGTGAAATTACTAGTCCATTGTTGGACCACTTGATGTGATAAATGATAATTCACTTTGAAAGGTATCTACTTAATAAAAAATTATTTTTTATTATATAATTTTATATTAAAATAAAATATGACTTCATGTAAGATCAAAGTTAATCACTGACTTTTTTAAAAATTTATAATAAAATTATATTTAATGAAACAATGATTACTTCATTTTTATTTTGATTATGTGTAGAAAAGTATGGATACGGATAATCATTTAAATAGATATCATTATTATGATAAATTAGTCTTGAATTTTTTTTACTAATAAATATTAGATCACCCATAAAAATATATAGTATAAAGCTTTTCCTATTCAAATAATAAAATTGTTTCATTAATCCAACAAATTACTAGTTGAATAATAGGATATGTATGAAATTAAAATATGAATAATGGGCCGTCAAATTAGAAACCATAATTACCCCAATTGATATTAGGTTCAATTAGTTGATACACACTTGTAAAATTTTTATGCATCTTTATTTATAAAAATCTTGAAACTTGTCAAGGTTTAATTCCTGAGTGAAGAATACTATTGGGAAGAACTCTATTCGATATATTATTTTTATCTCAAAACCCTCATATTTTAAGACACTTTTTTAAACACGTCATTTTATTAAAAAAATTATTTAAAATCACAAAATTATGAATCTCGTTACTTATTAATAATTCTCACTCATGATGTATTAAATTTTTCAATAAATTTTAATTAATAATAATAGATAATATATTATTTTTTTATAGGGTTAGATAATGTATTATAAGAAGACCAATTCTATGATACATCTCTCAATCATGTAGCCGCACCGTAAATAATACTATTATAATTTTTATTTGTACAACTCAAATTAGAATAATTATTTATTTTTATATATAAGACTTAATGACTAATATATTAATTATTTTTATACTAAAATATTCTTAATTAAAGTGTGTTCTCTTAATTATTTGAAATACATTATTTCTAAAAATTTTTTGAAGATTATGCATTCTAATTGGTTAAGGAAAAGATGAATATTAATTAAGAGAGAAAAATTATGTAAGACATACACTCTTAGTTAGAAAATATATGAGTATTAATTAAAA